TGTTTGGTACAGATTTTTATTTTCTACAGTAAATCAATTCTCATTTTCAACCACACATTCTTCAATAAAATAATATTTTTCATCACATCAATATTTTTTTCTTCTTTTTAAACCACACATTTCCCATCACATCACTATTCAAAAATCAATACTTCCCCCCAAAAATCTCTACCAAACACACTCTAAGTAAGAGATAATGTAAGTTATGAATTTAAATTGCATTGATCTTAGGGATTTTTATCTTTCTCTTTTACGATTACAACATATATAGTCCCATAAAATACATGGGAAATGAATAAAAAGTTCAAAAGAAATCCTTGGTTTTGAATGAGTACGGACGACCGTTGACTATCGTGCTCAATAAAATATTAAAAATTAAATATAATTTGTTAAAACTACATATAAAATTCTGTTATATATATCAACAATATTCATTAAATGATATAGTGGCCAAGTTTTGTATAATTCAAAGTAGGAGCACATGTTCGAATCTTTTCAATTGCATTAAAACCACTAGAACTGAACATATATTATTTTGTAACGTTTAGTGTCAACGTTCACGAATGCCATGGTGGTCAAGTTCTCATCAATCTTAAGGAGGGCTCACATATTTGAATCTCCTCCCTATTGAATTTGTTTTGGTGAAAATTGTAAAACTAGAAAAATTGCACAATAAATTGGTTTGAAAGAAAATCGATCCCAAAGCTTCCAATTTGGATGTGGAGGCTCTAACCGAGTTATAATATATGTTTGAAAACAAAATAAATTATCAGATATATAATCTAAACATGTTTTCTATTCTCAAAAAAAAAAAAAAATTGTCCCAGTTTGATGCTCCGCGGATGCTGGATCCACCATCTCTGTACATTCCACGATCCCAATTATTATTCAGTCAAATTTCTGTGTGTTTATTCCAAATTCAAAATTTTAATATATCTTTTGCTGGCAACTTTAGGTGTAGTTTTGTGCATCTATCCTCTGCTGCAGCACCACTTACTGTTTCCTCAATGTTTTGTGGTCCACCATTGATTATTCTTTTACACCTGTACTGTAACGTCCCAAATTTTAATGACTTAAA